CATAAAAAGTTTTAGTGTGGGACTTTTTAAGTTGAATAGTAGATATGAAGGCCAAGATGGTGTAGCTTTCCGTTTTTTCGCAGTCTTCTTTAGCTTTATAGTGCTGATTTGACCTTGTTTTCGCAATTTGGTCGGAGACTTTGTGGAACGTACCTAGTTCCGTGTCCTCTGCCAAAGTATTCGTGATTTCCCGTATTGGACCAATTGCTGGGTACATTCCAAAACGTTTTGCCGACATCGTAGTTGGCATCGTCAGTGAGATGGCGCCTCTCTTTGGAATGTACCCAGTCAATGGTCCAATGCCGAAAATCATGAATACTATGGCAGAGGACACGGAACTAGGTACGTTCCACAAGGTCTACCTGATGCTCCGACCGAATTGCGAAAACAGGTCAAACCAGCTCTTATAACATTGAAGTTTTGCTAAATTGTCACAATTATTGCATTGTAACTGCCATTGACCTTCAAATTATGTTTGCGCAGCCGAGTCAGTAATTAGCTCAGTTGAGATATCTTTCTAATTGAGTTTAGGGTGAATTGTAAATATGACTGAATTTTAACTTCGAAACCCAGTTTCTCTTGGATTTTTTACTATCATTGATTTTTCAAATGATTTTGCTCCCCAAGTTTAAGATACACAAACTTGCTATTCTGGTTGGATTTCGGCTACTATTCACATTCGAACAAAGTAACTAGTCTTCTTAAGAGAATTTCAAACGATAGGCAATTATATAGTTAACTTATTGCCAGTCACACTGTTTACTCACTACTAGTGAGCTGAAAGCTGAGTTTTCACATCCAGATCCATAAATAGTTTATCTTTGATATCTTACGGGGTAAGGCTAGCATGATTGTATTTTAACATACACTGACTTTAGAACAAAAGTTTACTTTAACAAGTTTACTTTGCTTTTACGCAAGTTTACTTTATCTCTAAACCTCGGGAGCGGAGGGGTATCGTTAATTTCTGCTCAGGCTTACATTCCGGCTTCATCGTTTCGCCCAAGATAAGCTGGGTAGTTGGAGGCCGAATGCGCGAGGCCAGAAGCCTGATTAGGCTGCAGAAAAACGCGAAACAGGTGTTTCGCCAGACCTCGCTTGTCCTGTACAGTGACGCTTACTCGACCGTTGTCCCCAGTGTCGGCATCGTAGATGCTAAATGGCACAATGCTGCTTGGCACCTGATGCTCGAGGAAACTGGCCGTGTACACGGGTCGGTCGAAACGAGGCGGGTTGTCGTTGACGTCCATGATGCGGATCACCAGACTGACTGAGCCGGACCGTGGTCCAGAGCTACGGTCCTGCTGAAGTTCGTGATCATTTCCACCCGCAGAATCACCCCCGCCACCGTCGATGGCCACCAAAGTGAAGGCGTATATCTCGTCTGTTTCGCGGTCCAGGGGACTTATCACCTCCAGCTGCGGCTGCCCGAGGTTGTCGACATCGAAGCTGTTTGACCCGACACCTTGGTAGCCTGAAAAGGACAGTTCTCCTGCTTCTCAGATCGAAGTAAAACACAGGCAATGTCAAAATATAAAAAAATGCTACTATTAAGACCTATCATTAAGGGGGTCTAAGAAATAATTTTTGGTGTTTCTATTTGCCTTAATCCTCAGCGAATTGGCATACAAGTTGACTTAAATGATTTTTCGTTTATAAGAAAGTTTTAGAGCCTATCAATAGATCGTGTATATGAGGTGTATTCACCCTAGTCCGGTAAAGGTAATAAGAAAACTGTTAGTCTCGAAAACCTACTTGTAAATGAAAAATAAGTAATGCGTTCGAGTTTTATAGCAAATAGAATTTTGCATCATCGACAATCTCAACACAGAATATGATATTGGCAAAAATTGCTCACTTTAGTCATGAAAAGTTTCTGTGAAATCTTTCAGAGGACTATTTTCAATGCATAATTATCGGCTAAAAAACGACAAGATAAGATCAGCCCTGCAAGAAATCACTGTTCATGACCTTGTTGAATGGCATAATTTCTTCACTTTCGGATATTTCGTTGCAAGGAAAGTAAAAGTTTGAGTCTATTTATATTCCAAGTCAGGTGATCCATGAAGAGAGGGGTTTCGTTTGCCCAACAAAAACACTCGTTGGCTTGAACAAATTTATCTATTACCCAAAGACACTTAAAGCCCTTTGGCTCTAAAAAACTAATAAAGTGACAGTGACAGGACCATGAAAGAAGAGATATGGAATTGCGATGCCTTTTGAGGAGTGACAGTTCCTCTCGAGCGGGAAAGAGGTACTATTTAAACATGTAAGGATCCTTCATTTGCCCGTCATTGCCTAGCCAATCTCTTCTGCTTTGCGCCTGAATGAATTAAATATGAAACAGTATGGATAATGACCATTTTGGAAATTTTGTATGGCAGTATATAATGCGTAATGCACCATTGCGCAAACTTTCGTGTATTGTGTAGCATCTGGTCCGCCCCTAGTTTGGCCTTATTAATAATTGTCTAGCCACTCACTAAATTATTATTAT